GGATCCTGCGCTGGAGATGACAATGCTGCGTATTTGTTCAGTGGAGTCCCTACAAGGATGTACCAGCGAATGCTATCACAAACATGCATGTATTAATGAGACCTGTCTGAATAGACGTACACATCCAGGGCTGTTATCTCATCAGCTTAACGTCAACATGCTTTACAGAGAGATGGAGAGAGAAACTATGTTGCGTGGAGATTGAATTAGGCCAATGCCAAAGTATATGTTACAAAAAAAGTTGTACATTTCATTTTTGCAAGACTAAGTAAGCATCATCTCCAGGGTGATACTTACTGTAGTTAAAACTAAAACTGTAAAAATAACATTTTCATTACTTGATGTAAAATACTAAAACACTGATCGGCAAATTGGAAATGAAAATAATCAGTAGGGCAATAAAACTAAATCAATACTGTCAATACACACTGCCCAGCAATTATATGTGAAACGATTGTTTTTATCATCACTCTCTCTTAAAGTCTATTGTGCAATATTATTATATCAAACAATATTTCACTTTAATAGCATCTAATTGTGTTTGTGTGCAATTTTCTGGAAGTTCAAAATATTCACTATACAGTAAGTACAACGAAAAGGTATTCGACAACAAAATCAATGTGAAAAAGAAATTCAACCTAATTCGACTTGAGAAAACAATCTGTAAAATGTATTTTAAAAAATCCAATTAAATTCAGTTTGGTTTGATTTTAAAGGGAAGTTTCATTGTGCAAAAATTACTGCGCAAAACGAACTTAAATGCCAAATATACATTGCAAAGGTGGCACAGAAGCGTTTCGGAAGTGGCATTCACGTGTCTTAACGCAGACTGTTTAATGCTTCTCAGAAGGTGGCATAAATGCAGTTCCACAGCAATTACAACTCTATGCTTTAATACTTGTGTCAGAGCAGGTGTAATTTAGTCTGGTTTTTATGCAGTATTGCACCTTTACACTGAATTTTGAGCAGGCATTGAGCAGCCTTAACTGTGTAAAGATACCATAGATGGCAGAATTGATGTGTTCACTTTTACTCGAATGTGTACTTGCATGCAAAAGGAGTTGCTTACTGCATACTACACAGTAGGGATGAATGCATATTCAGACACGGACAATGTTTTGCATGAACGGAACTCTACTCTGAATCTATGCTGAAAAATAGATTTCAGACAGTGTTTACAGAAGCTTTTGATAGTCCAAAGAACCCAAGGAAACAACAAAGCCACTTTTTCCACAGTTAGCAGCAGATGCATCCAATATGCTGATCTAGATGATAGCGGATGAATATACAATCCCAGACTGGAGTTACCTGCATATGCCAGTCCCTTGTGTGGACCAACATGTGCAAACAAATATCACCCGAATGCCACAGAGGATGGTACAATGAAAGTGTGTAAGTGTGTGTGTGTGTATGTGCCTGTCACAAGCATCACGTGGAGCAGTGCTCTTCATAATCTGGTTGGATTACGGCTCTCAGACCTGCGCCGTCTGGCCCTCGGCCCCATGCATCCGCTTCCCATCCATGATCATGACCCACTCACGATTTCACAGCATCAAGCTTTGTGTTGTTCAGATCACACACACAACAGCTGCACTTTGCATGCCAAAAACATACAAGCAACCAAACCCCAACAGAGTGTGTGTGTGTGTGAGAGTGTGTCTGTGAGAGTGTGTGTGTGTGAGGGTGTGTGTGTGTGTGTGTGTGTGTCTGTGAGAGTGTGTGTGTGTGTGTGAGAGAGTGTGTGTGTGTGTGTGTGTGTGTGTGTGTCTGTGAGAGTGTGCGTGTGTTTGTGAGAGAGTGTGTGTGTGTGTGTGTGAGAGAGTGTGTGTGTGTCTGTGAGTGTTTGTGAGAGTGTGCGTGTGTCTGTGAGAGTGTGCGTGTGTTTGTGAGAGTGTGTGTGTGTGTGTGTGTGTGTGTGTGTAAGACACTGAAAACAAGTCATGTCATTACATTCGTGAGGATTTTTGGAGTCTAACCCAAATACGCACACAAAGACAAACACAAAAAGGGCACATCTTCACATGAAAGTTGTCAAACTTTCTCGAACACCTCAAATCTTGTTTACATTCCTTGTAAATATAGGATTTGTGACGTCACAGCAACTATTACACAAAACAATTTGCGCCATAAACAAGCAAATAAAAAGCAAGTGTAGGAGCGGCACATAAATGATAATAATAATAAAACTTACCATTCACACAAAAGCAGACCAGCCAAGCAATCCATAGATCAGAATTATGAAATTTCAGCATTTTTCTGAGGGAAAGTCGTCGTGTTATGAAGTATGAAGTTCAAAGTCAGGCAGATTTTCTCCGCAGTTTGATGGTGGGAAAGTAATTGTCTCTTAAAATCAAAAATATTTTCAACGATGACATGTGAAACTAAGAACTAACGTTAGTCAAATTAAATCGGCGCGTAAAATTCCCTCAGCGTCGCGTTCGAGTCGTTATCCGCGTTAACGCGTCCGGTTCGGTCGGTACCGGGTGTCCGGTTCAGTTCTTCAGCACTACACCGAGCTGTACTCACATGCCGTTCACGGTGAACCGGGGAAATGTGCACCGGATCCTCGAGAGGGCCATGACCGACGCCGCTGCCGCCGCTCTCCGCTCTGATTGAGAAATCTGACTGACTGACAACTGGCCTGTTGCCTAGAGACCGCTGACGCCATTCGAAGCGCGAGGTAACTGTGCCCTCCTCTAGCGCGAAAAGGTGGCAGCACGCACGCACGCACGCACGCACGCACGGCGGCGCCACGCGCAGGAATGATGCGAACGGGAACAGACAGAAAGAGAGAAAGTCAGTCTATTGAATGACATTTAGTGTTTTTAAATTAACCCATTTATATTTTTTTAACAACAATTAAAAACTAATTTTACTACTGTACCTTAATTAGATTTTTAAAAATATTTTAATACATTTTTATACTATATTATTATTTTGTACACCATACAAGGCAAGTCTATTTTAACAAGCTTTCTATATATATATATATATATATGTGTGTGAGGAGGATAAATGCTTTTTTATGCCTGTAGCTGCATTATATTTATTATGGTGTTCAGTAATGCACAGTCATTACACTCTGAGCTCTCAATTAGGCTGTCAAAGAAAATCAATAAATGAACTGATCAATAAACCTGTTTAGAGACAGAATCAATAAAACACCTGTCTATCATCCATCTGACTTTTATGATACAAAACAAGCCAAACACACAGTACCGTAGCTATCTATATTGAAATAGCATTTCTATTTTCTTATAAAAATAAATAAATGTATAAATACATAAATATGGAGACGTGGGAATACATAAAATAAATGCATAAATATAAAAATAAAGAAAAAAATGAAAAATGTATAATAAAGGAAAAATAACTCATGACTAAATTTAATTACAATATATACTTGTGGGAATAAATAACAATAAATGTATAAATAAACAAAAAAATGTTTTAAGAATAAAACAAGCAAAAAATAATGCAAGTAAAAAGTAAATACAAAAAATAAAGGAAAAATAAGAACTGAACTAATTAATGATTAAAATGTATAAATACATGAGCTAAAATAAATACATGTGGGAATTAATAACAATAAATGTATAAATAAACAAAAAAATGTTTTAAGAATAAAACAAGCAAAAAATAATGCAAGTAAAAAGTAAATACAAAAAATAAAGGAAAAATAAGAACTGAAAACTAATTAATGATTAAAATGTATAAATACATGAGCTAAAATAAATACATGTGGGAATTAATAAACAGTGACAGTAAATGAACATAGGCTACAAATAAAATGAAAAAATAAGAAAAAGGGTAAAAAAAAATTAAAGCAAAGTTAATAAATACAGAAATAAAATAAAGGAAAACAAAATAATCCATTAATTGTTATTTAAATTTTATTATTTGTGTGTATTTATTCATGTTAAATTAAATTTTTTTAGATTTGGTACTCCATATGTACACAACTTGTAATATAATAATGACTATTAACCCTTAAAGAATGCAACAACATCATTAATTTTACTTGAAAATTAAAAAAAAAAAAAAATTCCCAGGACATACTGTAATTGAACTTGACCGCAGTCAAATTTTGCTCGATTTAGTTACTTCTGGGACCAATTTGTCCTCAAAGTACAGCTAAGTAACCCCTCACACACCTGAGAAAATCTTCTCTGCATTTACAGCCATCTGTGAGAAATGCAGAGTTTCTGCTGATGTTCAGATCTTTGACCCCGACCGCACATCTCCAACCGCTAACTTTCCCCCGATTAAACTTCCAGCATCTTCAGTGTGTTTGATGAAATATGCATGTGAAAGATCGACAGGGTGTGGCTGAAACAAAATGCAACACTGTGCTTTGCATCTATCCTGCAGGCGTTTGGCACCGGATAAGAGAGGAAGACTGAGAAATGTCCCTCTCTTCCGCCTCTGGGCAACAATCGCCCTGTTCTCTTATCTCTGGCATACAGTTGTCTTCAGCCCAGCAAAGAGCGTCCAAAACAGTGTTTGGAAGCAGCCACGTTTCGTCCCTGCTGTTCAGATGAATTATCTGTACCGTACTCAAACATAGATGAATAAGCAAACAAATCGTGCTCAAACAAGACAGATCTGTGCTGAAACCGTCAAAATCCAGCATGCATTTGCAGAAGCGTACAGTTTAGACAAAGATATTGTCCGGTTGACGTTAGACTTTTTCCATTTTCATGATGAAAATCAGAAGATGTGGGACAACCAAACACTCTAACCTATTTCTAATTAACCGAGTTACTAGATAAAGCTTTATTTTGATAGAGAGATATATATATATATATAAAAGTTAATTTGTGCTGAATGCATTAAATTTGATTACACACTCAAACATGGCCTACATTTGTACAACTGGTCAAGATTTATCAAAACAATAATAGTTCACTAACCAGCAACCACTGATGTTAATATCAGACAAAATGGATGAAAAATTTAAAACGTCAGAATATTAAACCAGAAAACACTTTTACACACAATAGCTTATAAATCTCTTTATTCCAGTGCTTCACTGAAGATTTGGCATGCAAGTAGCACCACCTTGTGGAAGTTTGTAATTACAGCTCAAACTTTATGAAAACTTCAAGAGATTGATAATGATTATTTATTACTACCCCCTGCATTGCATAATATTGCATTTATACATCTACAAAAATCATATAATAAAGATTTTAAATTATGATTTTGGAGGTATCTGATGAATCTTCAGTCTTGCTTTAGTCCTACAAAAAACAGAGAAAGACAAACGTTAACCTTCAGATTTTTACAAGAATCCTTAAACTAAACCCTCATTATGCAGGCACTGGTGCAATACATTTTGGATATTATTTCATAAAAAAAAAAAAAGCCTTGCTGCCTTTGGTCACTGTGCCTAGGGTTGACATTATTAATGCTAATAGATGCAATACAACTCCCTCCCAATTTAAACTTTGCTCCTCGTACTGATACCTTCAAACTGCACCTGTGCATTAATACAGTATGTGCATTAAAAAAGCAAAACAGTTACCGAATCGCTGGAGGAAGACGAGGACTTGTCACCGTCCTTCTTCTTGTGCTCCTTGTCTTTCTTCTTCTTCTTGTCTTTGTCTTTATGTTCTTTATCTTTGTGCTTATCTTTATCCTTTAAAAAAAAAATTACATTTAATTTATGCACCTCATGTCATTCCAAACCCATTTTATTTTCCTTCTTCAGTGGAACAAAAATAGAATCTCAGAGTTTTAAAGGAAGGAAGTGGATGGGGATTTATACTGCGATTTTGCAAATTTGGCGTGTTGTGATCAGTCTTTTGACAAAAGAGAACCAAAGAAATCATATGGGTTTGGAATGATACGAGGGTGAGTAAATGACAGATCTGACATTTTTAAGGAGTTAATTATTGCTTGAAGTATAAAATAAATTAGAAAAAAAAAAAAAAAAAAAATTTTTAAAAAATATAAAATTTTTTATTTAAATTAAAGTTGTGGATGTTTTCTAAAATTAACTGGAAAGAAAACAGAACCGTTTTTAATGAAAAAGTCCAGAGAGAGAAAGCATCCACCAAGTCAAACTCTTGCACTGAATATCAAGTCTGAAACTCTCTGTATTAGAGTTATAAGGGCCGTGTGAGGCTTGTTATCGCCTCTGAGAGACTATTAAAGTGCACACATTCATTCCTTTGCAGACACTGTGTGATAGATATGTGCTTTTATCACCAGCTCACGCTCTGCTGTAATACTCGCCATGAGGCGACTACAAATGATCCTGAACACCACGGCATATGAAAGATCAAACCCTGCACCCGTCCTGAAATCCCTCCACTGCCACATTACCATTCATTCTGCATCTCTAGCACTGCTGCTCAGATATCTCAAGTGTTGCAAGTAAATACACTCTTAAAGAAAAAAAAAAAGTTTACAGTAAATACACTTATGTAAGTCTATGGGGGAAAATATACTAAAATGCACACAGTTTCTAAAGTGTATTAATAAAAAAATAAAAAAAAATTTTTTTTTAAAGTTATGCGTGTTAACAAGACTAGTATGAACAATTATATATACACATGAATGCGAGTATGCAATTTTTGAATGATACACGCGTTGTGTGAGAAATATATTTTTTATACATACACACATACACTTTTAATGTAATTTTAAAATTAGTTTATTTTTATAATTTCATTAGTTTGTTAAAATGAAAATTATATGACATATACACACACACACACACACATACATATATATATATATAGAGATAGAGGTAATTTTGTTATTTATTTTAGTGTATTAAAAATAATTTTATTTATCTTTTTTTATTTAAAATATTCATAGTTGGAAATATTTTTATAGTTGATACATTGTTATTTAAAATACCAATGTATCAACTACCTTTTTAATCAATTCCCTTTGATCTACTTTCCATATAGAAGTGTAGGTGATGCTATGGTAACCAGGATTTGTTTCCCTGCACTGGCCTCATCTATACGCACTAAACAGGTTATTGTTTTGCTTAAAACAACGTTGTAGCATATTGTTTGGCATGTTTACACAAAGATCCCATCTGTGTCTAAATAGAGCGGTTCTTTTGGAAATTCCTCAGCGGGTGTGTCTCTAAACGTGTGATATCAGTGTGATAAGTGACGTCTAACGGCAGGAATGCTGCGAGGGATGGGAAGAAATCACCGCTAAACTTTCCAAGAGACCCTGAAGAATCAAGTCTCTGCCCATCTGAAACGCTTCACAGCCGTACAGCTAGACCACACCTCCAGAGCAACCGGTTTTACGAGACGCCACTATCACGGCCTTTATGGAGCCCAACCTTGCTGCCTTTGGTCACTGTGCCTAGGGTTGACATTATTAATGCTAATAGATGCAATACAACTCCCTCCCAATTTAAACTTTGCTCCTCGTATTGATACCTTCAAACTGCACCTGTGCATTAATACAGTATGTGCATTAAAAAAGCAAAACAGTTACCGAATCGCTGGAGGAAGACGAGGACTTGTCACCGTCCTTCTTCTTGTGCTCCTTGTCTTTCTTCTTCTTGTCTTTGTCTTTATGTTCTTTATCTTTGTGCTTATCTTTATCCTTATCATCACTCCCTGTGTGCTGTAACAACTAGAGGAAATTGTGTGGATTGTGAGGAAATTGAGTTTGAGACTCAGGTCCGGCAGGGATTGTAGGTTGGAGGAGTGAAGGCTCTCTTCCACCTTCAATACCACGACTGAGGTGCCCTTGAGCAAAGCACTGAACCCCCATCTGCTCCCCAGGTGCCACAGTATAAATGGCTGCCCACTGCTCCGGGTGTGTGTTCACGGTGTGTGTGTGTTCACTGCTGTGTGTGTGCACTTTGGATGGGATAAATGCAGAGCACTAATTTTTAGTATGGGTCACCATATTTGGCCACATGTCACGTCACTTTAACTGAGACTTGTTATAGCATTTGTATATCATTGCTCTTTTGTTGATTTTTGATTTTAATTGCTTCCATTGTCCTCATTTGTAAGTCGCTCTGGATAAAAGCCTCTACTAAATGACTATATATATATATATAATGTTGTACTGTAGTGTAAATAAAGGAGTCTAGGACAACTTTTTATACCAATTAATTTCTCACATTAAGTTTATTTTGAAAAGTCACTTATGTCACTTTTTCAATAGTCACCACCCTGAAACAACTATTGGACATATCTATCATTATTATCCAGTATAAATATAGGCTACAGTTCATTATGTTGACTTATGTTTAGTGGGCCATGTTGTCACTATATATGGGATAAATCATAAGAATGGGAATTGTTTTGAGAAAACAAACATTATTAACATTATTATTATGTATTAGAGGCTATATAATGTCTTTAACAGTAAAACAAACAGCAAAAAAATTTAAATGTTACAAAAAATAACAGGAGATTTTCATAGATACTTTATATGCAGTACATCACAAAACTCATGTAACAGCTCAGACCAATTTATAAAAAGATAATAGTACTGAAATTTTAGTTTGTAGGACACAATTCCAAAAATATTATCCTAATTTAATACAAATGTTGCAACTAGGTGTTTGAAACAACATATAAAACCACTGCTAGAAAACAAGCATTTGTGCAATTGGATTTTTTGACTCAAAACCTCACAGTTGCTATAAAAATAAATCCCTTAGGACATTTTCCCTGTGTGACAACTTGCCCCGGCCCTCTTATGTCTTCAGCTTTAGTCCTGCAAACAAAGAGAGAATAATGTTAACTTCCGGTTTTCTATGAAAAACAAAAACAAATGTGACAGTTCAAGTGCTTGTAACTCTACATAAATGATTTGAAAAACACAGATTATACATTTTTGGTCGAATCTCATGCATTTGGTTTCTGGAAAATCTTTTGTGTTTTTTTTTGTCCTCTCTTCAACAAGTAAACCGGTTTGTCTGCATTACAGGGGCGGACCCATCCAGCAGACTCTGAAAGTCAGTCTATGAAAGCACTCGACTTCATCCAGGTGTTTTTAACGAAGTTTGACACGTTTAAACTGGCCAGGTTTGTTTTACAGTATATTACTTACATGTAAGAATGAAGAACATGAAACAAGGTGAAAGTCAGTGAGGTAGAAAGTTTAAGTAGATTAGCATCAAATGTGGCTCCTCCAATCAGATCATCAGAACGATTCATTTGAGTCTTTTGTTTTGAACTGTAGTTAAGCAAAACTGACGAATGGAGCATGTGCCCTAGATCTTTACGACTGTAAGTGCGCACCACACCTCAAGATCAGCCGTTATTATGAGATGCCATTATCACGCCATTTTTACAACCTCAGTTAAAACATTTAATTAAAATGTTAGTAACCTGTTCTTAACTCAAACTTTGTCTGCTCATAGACAAACGAATGGTACCAAACTGCACCAAAAAACAACCAAAAATCACCATAAAAGAAGTCGATATGCTTAAGATCTCCTTCTGTGTCTCACAAAACCAAATTAATTTGGGCTTGTTTTAATTAAGTGTTTATAAAACCATAGTAAAGGTACCTCATCACTGGATGAAGAGGATGACCTGTGTCCGTGTCCGCGTCCACGTCCCCGACCATGACCATGTCCGTGTCCATGACCGTGCCCCTTTTTGTGCTCTTTATCCTTCTTCTTTTCCTTGTCTTTGCACTTGTCCTTCTCTTTGTCTTTGCACTTGTCCTTCTCTTTGTCTTTGCACTTGTCCTTCTCTTTGTCTTTGCACTTGTCCTTCTCTTTGTCTTTGCACTTGTCCTTCTCTTTGTCTTTGCACTTGTCCTTCTCTTTGTCTTTGCACTTGTCCTTCTCTTTGTCTTTGCACTTGTCCTTCTCTTTGTCTTTGCACTTGTCCTTCTCTTTGTCTTTGCACTCGTCCTTGTCTTTATCCTCTTCTTTGCAATCACTCTGAAAAAGCATGCATAAAACAGTATAATGCATCACATTCTAAACACCAGCATGTAGTAACATCTCTTATTTTACGTCATTATTAACCCTCAAGGGCTGAGCAACATTTTTGAGCTCTTGAAAGGAGTCTTCCGGGTTGAATTCGACACAAAACACTGTTCGCAACACATTTTGCTTCTGTAATCTGATTATAGCTGGCCGTCCGGCCAAACTGAGCTATCGGGGGGGAAGAGCCTTGGTGAGAGAGGTAAAGAAGAACCCAAAGATCACTGTGGCTGAGCTCCAGAGATGCAGTTGGGAGATGGGAGAAAGTTGTAGAAAGTCAACCATCACTGCAGCCCTCCACCAGTCGGGGCTTTATGGCAGAGTGGCCCGACGGAAGCCTCTCCTCAGTGCAAGACACATGAAAGCCTGCATGGAGTTTGCTAAAAAACACCTGAATAAGATTCTCTGGTCTGATGAGACCAAGATATAACTTTTTGGCCTTAATTCTAAGCGGTATGTGTGGAGAAAACCAGGCACTGCTCATCACCTGTCCCAACAGTGAAGCATGGTGGTGGCAGCATCATGCTGTGGGGGTGTTTTTCAGCTGCAGGGACAGGATGACTGGTTGCAATCGAGGGAAAGATGAATGCGGCCAAGTACAGGGATATCCTGGACGAAAACCTTCTCGAGTGCTCAGGACCTCAGACTGGGCTGAAGGTTTACCTTCCAACAAGACAATGACCCTAAGCACACCGCTAAAATAACGAAGGAGTGGCTTCGCAACAACTCTGTGACTGTTCTTGAATGGCCCAGCCAGAGCCCTGACTTAAACCCAATTGAGCATCTCTGGAGAGACCTAAAAATGGCTGTCCACCAACGTTTACCATCCAACCTGACAGAACTGGAGAGGATCTGCAACTTGGAGGAATGGCAGAGGATCCCCAAATTCAGGTGTGAAAAACTTGTTGCATCTTTCCCCAAAAGACTCATGGCTGTATTAGATCAAAAGGGTGTTTCTACTAAATACTGAGCAAAGGGTCTGAATACTTAGGACCATGTGATATTTCAGATTTTCTTTTTTAATAAATCTGCATAAATGTCAACAATTCTGTGTTTTTCTGTCAATATGGGGTGCTGTGTGTACATTAATGAGGAAAAAAAATTAACTTAAATGATTTTAGCAAATGGCTGCAATATAACAAAGAGTGAAAAATTTAAGGGGGTCTGAATACTTTCCGTACCCACTGTATATATATATATAATGTTGTACTGTAGTGTAAATAAAGGAGTCTAGGACAACTTTTTATACCAATTAATTTCTCACATTAAGTTTATTTTGAAAAGTCACTTATGTCACTTTTTCAATAGTCACCACCCTGAAACAACTATTGGACATATCTATCATTATTATCCAGTATAAATATAGGCTACAGTTCATTATGTTGACTTATGTTTAGTGGGCCATGTTGTCACTATATATGGGATAAATCATAAGAATGGGAATTGTTTTGAGAAAACAAACATTATTAACATTATTATTATGTATTAGAGGCTATATAATGTCTTTAACAGTAAAACAAACAGCAAAAAAATTTAAATGTTACAAAAAATAACAGGAGATTTTCATAGATACTTTATATGCAGTACATCACAAAACTCATGTAACAGCTCAGACCAATTTATAAAAAGATAATAGTACTGAAATTTTAGTTTGTAGGACACAATTCCAAAAATATTATCCTAATTTAATACAAATGTTGCAACTAGGTGTTTGAAACAACATATAAAACCACTGCTAGAAAACAAGCATTTGTGCAATTGGATTTTTTGACTCAAAACCTCACAGTTGCTATAAAAATAAATCCCTTAGGACATTTTCCCTGTGTGACAACTTGCCCCGGCCCTCTTATGTCTTCAGCTTTAGTCCTGCAAACAAAGAGAGAATAATGTTAACTTCCGGTTTTCTATGAAAAACAAAAACAAATGTGACAGTTCAAGTGCTTGTAACTCTACATAAATGATTTGAAAAACACAGATTATACATTTTTGGTCGAATCTCATGCATTTGGTTTCTGGAAAATCTTTTGTGTTTTTTTTTGTCCTCTCTTCAACAAGTAAACCGATTTGTCTGCATTACAGGGGCGGACCCATCCAGCAGACTCTGAAAGTCAGTCTATGAAAGCACTCGACTTCATCCAGGTGTTTTTAACGAAGTTTGACACGTTTAAACTGGCCAGGTTTGTTTTACAGTATATTACTTACATGTAAGAATGAAGAACATGAAACAAGGTGAAAGTCAGTGAGGTAGAAAGTTTAAGTAGATTAGCATCAAATGTGGCTCCTCCAATCAGATCATCAGAACGATTCATTTGAGTCTTTTGTTTTGAACTGTAGTTAAGCAAAACTGACGAATGGAGCATGTGCCCTAGATCTTTACGACTGTAAGTGCGCACCACACCTCAAGATCAGCCGTTATTATGAGATGCCATTATCACGCCATTTTTACAACCTCAGTTAAAACATTTAATTAAAATGTTAGTAACCTGTTCTTAACTCAAACTTTGTCTGCTCATAGACAAACGAATGGTGCCAAACTGCACCAAAAAACAACCAAAAATCACCATAAAAGAAGTCGATATGCTGAAGATCTCCTTCTGTGTCTCACAAAACCAAATTAATTTGGGCTTGTTTTAATTAAGTGTTTATAAAACCATAGTAAAGGTACCTCATCACTGGATGAAGAGGATGACCTGTGTCCGTGTCCGCGTCCACGTCCCCGACCATGACCATGTCCGTGTCCATGACCGTGCCCCTTTTTGTGCTCTTTATCCTTCTTCTTTTCCTTGTCTTTGCACTTGTCCTTCTCTTTGTCTTTGCACTTGTCCTTCTCTTTGTCTTTGCACTTGTCCTTGTCTTTATCCTCTTCTTTGCAATCACTCTGAAAAAGCATGCATAAAACAGTATAATGCATCACATTCTAAACACCAGCATGTAGTAACATCTCTTATTTTACGTCATTATTAACCCTCAAGGGCTGAGCAACATTTTTGAGCTCTTGAAAGGAGTCTTCCGGGTTGAATTCGACACAAAACACTGTTCGCAACACATTTTGCTTCTGTAATCTGATTATAAACACATCAGGAAACTGAGAAGTGGCTTTAAAGGAAAAGTGCTTGGAGTGGAAGGGGTTAAAAAGTAAAAAAAAACAATGCAGACATTTTGATTTAATAGGAAATTCAGATTATTAACTGTCCGATCACATTATAAACACTTTCCAAATGTGTTATTGTACTATCATAGTGATTGAATTATATTAGTTATTATATATTTTATATTGATATTATAGTTTTTAATAATGTATTTATAGATTATGTATAATTATTTATAATTTAGTTATAATTAGAATTATTTATAATATATTTAATTAATTATAATTGTATTTTATTCATGTCTGTAAAGCTTTGGTTTTTATTTTTATGTTTTATGTTTTCATTTTAATTTTTATTCTAAAGTTTTAGTCATTTTCATTTATGTTTTTGTCATTTTTTTTAAATTTTATTTATAATTTATGTCAGTTTTAGTTTCAGCCAGTCAAGTTAAACTAAATTAAAATGAAAAATGTTGCCTCGGCAACTCGCTGAAATAAGTTTTCAATATTTTATTTCAACTAACAACATTTTTATGGTTTTAGTTTTAGTTATCAATAATAATAATTTTTCAATACTTTTCATCTACATGTGTATAAAATGTAAAAGTTTTTAGTTTGAAATCAATATAACACAGAACTGACAAAAACATTATGATAAGTATGTCACGCATGTTGATGTTCTTATAACAGAAACTGTGATTTTTGATTTTTCTGCGTATTAGAAAACGTTCATTGACCATCATGATGAAATATTCTTACCTTTGGCTTGTCACTACCTTTGTCTTTGTCCTTACACTCTTTATCTTTTTCTTCTTTGTCTTTATCTTTTTTTCCAAACCCAAAGATGCCCTCCACCTCGTTGCCCTCCTGCTTCTTCACCTCATCATCTCCAACAGCTGCTCCAAAACAGGAATAAAACTGTTAGTTTCTCTTAGAAATCAACCAGTGTGTGTTTACTGGAATATCATTTACCTGAGCACAGATCGAAGTCCATGATGAAGCAGTGAATGTGATCTGGTTGAGATGACAGCAGTATTTATCATCAACATCAGTGTTTCTACCGGGATCCACCCAGAGGTTTGTGCCTCATTAATATTAATCAACGTGAGGTAAAGATTCGCCCTAGCTGATTGGCTGAAAGACAGACAACGCCAAGTATGCATTAAATGAGCGAAACTCTTTACTGTACACAGCGATGGCTTTGCTCATGAATATTAATTAAATAACGAGTAGTCTCAGCTGATTGGCTAAGAGACGTCGATAAGTAGGTGAGTGGGCTGACTAAATAAGGAATAGCTTATGTTTATTAATTACGTGGTGTGGTGTGATTTAATTTCGCATTTTAATTTGAAATTTAAATTTAATTCACATTTAACAACTTATCTTTCTAAAAAAAATAGCACAATATCTGGATAAATAAATAAATATTTCTACATTCTGACTTTACATTGGTTTTTTTAACCTCGCCACGGAGTATCTCTAAGTATATCTCGTACCTCAAACTTTTTTCCTCAGAATAGCGAGAAGGGAAAAGGTCAGAATTGTTATGCAGTTTTTCTCAGTTGCTTTGGTGCATTTCTCGAATCATCCACAATATTTGCAAAGAAGTATGTGCATTTCTCAAAACAATTCGTACAAACAGCACCACACGATGGATTACCTGCAAAAGCCTGTAACTTACTCACAATCTTTAGCTCATCTCTCAAAAGTAAGAATTTATATCAATGACTGATACTCTGTTAGTATTGCCTGATGTGAACTATGACAGCAGTTTGGATGCAGTTACTGTACTGAAATGCAGAAGGCTGCACTTCTTATGCATTCCATATATCCATTTCAAAAGTACAAATTGACACACTATTGTATGTGGGATATGGATTGAAAGAGACTGGATAGAATTCCCAGTTACACTTTTACTAGTGGTCTGACCAAAAAATAACAAAATAAACCTTTACAATGTAACTGTGATATAGAAAAGGAAAAAGAAATATGGGCAAAAAGATGAAAATAAAAAATAAGAAAGTCCATTGTCAGACTTTGTAACTCTTGTGTTGTCCTCTGTCTATAAAGTATATCATGCTTTCCAACTGAGATGAACCTTTGAGCTATTTCAGAGAAAGGGTTTATAATTGGTTGATCTACATTCTCTTCTTGCACAATCAAGGCCAAATTTACAAAAAGTCTATGTGTAAAAAAATGTGCTTGACAGTTTATGACAACTAGATGAACCATTTAGCATTTATTGACTTATACGATGAACTAAAGACTAGATGTTTTGAGGGGTAAGACTATAGCACAGAGAACTATATAATACATTTTGAGCAAAATGACATTAGCAACTGATAATGTAGGAAACAGCAGATAAATGCACATGAATGCACCAAAGCAATCACAACTTGCTCAAAAGAATGAGAAACTGGTTTTATGATGTGCACAAGTGACTAGATGATGTGGAGGTTGAACAAGTAGTTTTGAGAATTTCATTTCTGATTTGAGAAATGCACCAAAGTGACTGAGAAAAACTGTAAATAAACCCATAACAACGTCAGTGGGATATACAAAAGAAAAAGAAATATGGGCACAAAGGCGAAAACACAGGAACCCCGCTTCAGCCATTGTAAGGCCATGATTAACATCGTGGTCCACAGTGGTTCTTATTTCATCTGATATGCGCCTATGTCCTTGGCCTCTTCCTATGTTTTGCCTCTGTACCCTTCCACCACACATCCTTACTCCTCTTCTTCCTCTCGGCTGTTGATCCTGATCGTTTCCTGGATGTTCATCCGTTGTCAGACTTTGTAGCTCTTGTGTTGTCCTCTGTCTATATGTTCTTTCCAACTGAAGGTTCATGAGATGCACCTTTGAGCTATTTCAGAGAACTGGTTTATCATTGGTTGATCTACATTCTCTTCATTAGTGAAAGATTCACCTGCACAATTCATGGCAAATTTACAAAAAGTCTTATAGAAATGTGTAGAAAATATGCTTGACAGTTTATGACAACTACACTCTTAAAAATAAAGGTGCTTCACGATGCCATAGAAGAACCTTTTTGTCTAAATGGTTCCATAAAGAACCTTTAACATCTGAAGAACCTTTCTGTTTCACTAAAGGTTCTTTGTGGTGAAAGAAGGTTCTTCAGATTACAAAAAGGTAAGAAAGAGATGGTTCTTTAAAGAACCTTTGACTGAATGGTTCTTTGTGGAACCAAAAATGGTTCTTCTGTGGCATCGCTTGAAGAACCTTTTGAAGCACCTTTATTTTTAAGAGTGTAGATCAACCATTTTGAATTTAATGACTAGATGTTTTGAGGGGAAACACTATTGCACAGAGAACTATATAGTAGATTTTGAGCAACATGACACGTTCATCATCTGAAAGCTGAATAAATAGGCTTTCCATTGATGTATGGTTGTTATGATAGGACAACTATTTGAAAATCTGGAATCTGAGGGTGCAAAAAAATCTAAATGTTGAGAAAATCACCTTTACATTTGTCCAAATGAAGTACTCAACAATGCATATTATTAATCAAAAATTAAGTTTTGATATATTTATGGTAAGAAATTTACAAAATATCTTCACGGAACATGATCTTTATTTAATATCCTAATGATTTTTGGCATAAAAGAAAAATGTATAATTTGACCCATACAATGTATTGTTGGCTATTGCTACAAATATACCTCAGCGACTGGTTTTGAGGTCCAGGGTCACATATAGCAACTGATAAAGTAGGAAACTGCAGACACGTGCACATAATCAATTGCATGAATGTACCAAAGCAGTCGCAACTTGCTCAAAAGAATGAGAAATTGCTTTTATGATGTGCACAAGTGACTAGATGATGTGGAGGTTGAACAAGTAGTTTTGAGAATTTCATTTCTGATCTGAGAAATGCATCAACGCAACTGAGAAAAACTGTAATATAATTGTTGATAATAAGTAGTAGTATATATAGTATACTGTTTGATGCATGTATGCACTAGCACTAAGTTAATGTGAACAATGACATAAAACCTCAGAGGAAAGTCATTAAAAACACTAAATCCTGTTTTTAGAATTAAATCTGGCGTTGACAGAAACAGGATTATCCAACAAAACCAGTTTATGAACCTCTTCCCCCACCTCAGCACAGTTTTGGTATGCAGACGTCAGTTTGCAGGAGTGTTGGGTGTGTCTCATAAGGGTGGTTCTGCTTTAGTACAACGCTGATAAAAACATCACAATAATCCACAGCACTCCAGTCCATCAGTTAACATCTGGAGAAGACAAAAGCTGTGTGTTTGAAATAAACAAGTCCATCATTAACGCATTTTTAACATTAAATCATCGCTAATGGACAAAATATAAGTCCATAATACATAATAACACTTCCTCCAGTGATAAAGTGCATCTCCTGTTATCTCTCACATCAAAATCCAGCCAGATGTTTGTTTAGAGCTGTTTTGGCTTGTAAACGGTGCTTTTTGAGAAGCTTTTGTCTTCTCCAGATGTTAACTGATGGACTGGAGTGCTGTGGATTATTGTGATGTTTTTATCAGCTGTTTGGACTCTCATTCTGACGGCACCCATTCACTGCAGAGCATCCATTGCTGAGCGGTTTTTACTTCAAACCATTGCATCTAGCTAAAATACGGGTCTTCTATCCATAAAATTGATTTCTCCAGTGAAAAACACTGGAACTACTCCTTTAACAAATGATCTTTAGCTGTTTCAGTGTCATGTACTCCTGTGTTATTAATGTGTTAAATATTGAGTGTATAAAATGAATGCACTGTAAGTCTTTGGATAAAAGTGTCTGCCAAATGCTTAAATGTCAAATAAGCCAACTGGAACCTATTGAAATAAGCACACATCCCTCTGATTTTATTCAGTGGCATCTTGTGTTTCCACCCTATGTAAAATCCTCCAGAAAGATCTCCCTGACAGGAAGTAGATGAACTTCTCTAAAAACGGCCCCAGCCCGAGGCGCTTCAGGAAAGTATCTAGGTGTGGTTTCTATTCATGTCTTTTGCTCCACAAATGCTCTGGTTCTGATTATTCCAGCACATAATGACAGAAAACACTCCTCGAATCATTTTCACATGAACTGCATGTGGTTTGTTTACAAGCTTTTTAATAGCATCATTCACAATCAAAATATTCCCTGACTCATGCAAGATACAGCTATTGGGTTCAAATATAATCTAAAAATCTAATAAAAACATAAATGATAATTGCAGTGATTATTCAATAGACAACAATGTGGGTTAAATGCTGCATTCTGTTCCCTCTATCACAGACAAAAACAAATACACACTGATCATAAGCATTCACGTCTTAAAATCTATCTTCGTAGCACCATAACAAAAAAAAAGTGCTGTGGCCGTACCATGGTACAGTGATTGTATCAGATGGTTAAATGTATATTCCAGGGTTCCACAAATGATAAATAAAATGTTTAATACAAATTTTTAGATTATTTAGATCACAGTGGAGATTGAAGAAGAAAAAAAAAAGTAATTCTAAGCATTATTTCTACATCATTCATGCAACAGTTTATTTTTTTCTCTCTGAAACATTTTAGGTGGACGTTCATATAATGCTTTTTAAATGTAACTATTTGTTTCGGAATGTTCAGAGAACATTCAAAAGTAACATTTCCATAATCTTTGAAAAATGATCAAAATGATCATGTTCACTTAATGTTTGAAAAAAAAGACATTTTGAACGTTAAGAGAACAGTCAGAAATAACGATTTTGTAAATTAATGGGAACGCTAGAAACATGCTCTTAGAACATATTTTTGTTAGCTGGGTATAGCCTACAGTATGTTTAGCTTTTTAACGCTGCTGACTGTATTTAGACCTCAAGTTGTGTTTATTTGTGACACTGGACCACAAAACCAGTCATAAGAGTCCATTTCAAATTGACAATATTTATATATTGGACAATATTTGGCCGAGATACAACTATTTGAAAATCTGGAATCTGAGGGTGCAAAAAAATCTAAATATTGAGAAAATCAACAAAAAGTTGTTCAAATGAAGTTCTTAGCAATGCATATTACTAATCAAACATTAAGTTTTGATATATTTACGGTAGGAAATTTACAAAATATCTTCATGGAACATGATCTTTACTTAATATCCTAATGATTTTTGGCATAAAAAAAATGGATAATTTTGACCCATACAATGTATTGTTGGCTATTACTACAAATATACCTGTGCTACTTATGACTGCTTTTGTGCTGCAGGGACACATATGTGATGTAAGAATCATGTAGGAGTCATACAAACATACGTCATCACTGCAGCACTCTAAACCCCAAAAAACATGGTACTGCCATGGTGCTTTTGTGTAAGTGTTTCTTACGATGTGAAGTGTGAGGTGTATCTGCTGGCCGTGACTCTGTCTGTCCCCAGTGTGTTTCTCTGAGGATGTCCCATCAGGCTCTCTATGGCAGTCAGAGGCCTGCGGGAGGCGCTGCTGCTCTCTGTGTGGCTCAGGGTTTCAGAAGGCAGGCTGGAGTAAACTAGAGATGAAGAAATCTGAGAGCCACAGCTGTAATCTCTCATGCTGGATGACCCCAAACCCCCTGACTCTCCTTCAATCTTCAGCAAGGAGTTTTCTCCATCCTTATCAGCTGATTTGGCTTTCTCCTGTAAAGGAATAACAATAGAGGTTCAGTTCAACTACTGAGAGAACTACACAACCATGTCACACGGCAAGACACGGTAGACATCAGCGAGTAGAAGTGAATTTCCTCTATATCTTAGAGAAAATAAAAGCCGTCATAATGCTTGAGAAATAACAGATTAAAATAAGCAAGCTTGGATTAGCTCATACATGCTTGTCGTCATGGTTTTCTGATCGTGAAGACTTTCCTGAGTCCTGGGATTAAAACAAAAGCAACAAGACACAATCAAAAGACAAATGAAACTACATCAAATGTATGACATTGACATTGTTGTCCGACAACAATGCAGCATATATAAATTACATATATGAGACCCTGGAGCACAAAAGCAGTGTTAAGTCTTTTTTGATTATTGATTTTTCTTTTATGTTAAAAATCATTAGGATATTAAGTAAAGATCATGTTCCATGAAGATATTTTGTAAATTTCCTACTGTAAATATATCAAAACTTAATTTTTGATTAGTAATATGCATTGCTAAGAACTTCATTTGGACAACTTTAAACGTGATTTTTTTCAATATTTAGATTTTTTTGCACCCTCAGATTCCAGATTTTCAAATAGTTGTATCTCAACCAAATATTGTCCTGTCCTAACAAACCATACGTCAACGGAAAGCTTATTTATTCATCGTTCAGAAGCTGTATAAATCTCAATTTTGGAAAATTGACCCTTATGACTGCTTTTGTTGTCCAGGGTCACATAAAATATTTTTTATGGTTTTGTATGTATTGCATGTATGATAAAAAAAAAATCTAAATATTGAATAAAATCACG